CGAGTAGAGAGTTCGGTAGTTAGGGAAGGTATGAGGTCTATGAGAACCTGTTTGAGATTGTGTGGACGTAGGATGAGAATGAAAAGGTTGAGGTTTGCAAGAAGAGGAAAAAAAGTAAAAGGGAGATTTGGGTAAGGCAAAAGAGAGAGGTTGAGAGTGAGCTGTGGATGAGGAAGAAGCATTAAAAGACAAGAGAGATGAAGAAGAATTGGGGTCATGAAGAAGACAACTAGAAATGGGCAAGAAAAGTAGAGAGAAAAGCTCAGGCTCAGTTGGAGAAATAGAAGCAGGAATGACAGAAACAATAGGAGAAGATAAAGAAGAATCATGTCGACCCCAAAAAATGTTGTCAACAGATGCCGGGCCACTCGTGTATACGTGAACTTAATCCAACACGTTAATGCCGATCAACGGTCAAGATGGTTCCAGAATCTGAACATGGGAGGAGCTCAACGACATGAGACGTCTCCGTTTAGGCCTCTGGCAAGATAAACAGAACGCGATTGTATAAGAAATCAATCAAAAAAGAACAAGATTTGTAGTACAAAATACTAATAAACGAGATAATAATATTGCTCCAAGTATTTAGAATTTCATTAACTTTTCTTGTGTTACATGGTTGGGGTATTTATAGTGTTACAAATGAAATAATGACCTTTGGATCAATTTACACGTGTCACCATCTCCTCGGCCAAGACATCAACTACTAGCCATCAAGTTAACTCTCCTACCCTTACAAGACATTAAATGCTCTTACATTGACAAGATAAGATACAAATAAACTTCACACAAAAGTCACATCAATCATTCAAAATAAAGATCTTCATCATAAGCAAATCTCTACATGTGGGCCATCACTAACTGCTGAAGAGCCTCAAATCCGTAGTGGTGCCCTAGGCCTCAGATAGTGCATGGCCTCGGAACAAGGGCCTCGGCTAACAATGAAAGCCTCGGATAATGGGCCTAGTATAGCATTGAGCATTAGTTAACACGTTAGAGGCCAGGAAAATACATCCCGATTCAATTGGGCTGGTCCCACCGTTCAAATATGATGCCATGTGGTGCTTCTGCTTATAAATCGTAACAAATCATATGAGGTGAAAAGGGAAGATGAGTACCTATAGGAGGAGAAATCGTGGAAGGAGCAGAGAATTACAGTCCTTCCTTTATAGGGAAGTGTGCTCACCAAAAACCACATGCCGAGAGATGAAGACTCATTTAAACAGAAGATCTAAGCACCTGTAACCACACTGATTTGAGCTATATCTACGAAAGATACATATTTTGGAGCAAAGCATGAGTTTGTGAGACATAAGGACTTAAAAGTGGATAGCAAGCAAAATCAAAGGATCTTAGGGCAATGTAATCAGGTTATTTTCCAAATAATGTGAAAAAAGGGAGAATTATTGTTAAGAACTGGTCTAGAAAGTCTATTGATTAGAAATATTGCAGTTAAAAAAACATCCACCCAATAAGTGACTGGTAAATGTGATTGCGCTAAAAGTGGTAAACCCATTTCTGTGAAATGTCTATGTTTCCTTTCGACAATTCCATTTTGTTGAGGGGCATCATGTGATTCTATGGAAAATGCCATTAAAGTCTAGGAATAACTGAAATTGTCGAGACATGTACTCTCCACAACCATCGGTTTGAAGTTCCTTAATCTTTTAGGATAATTGATTTTCAATTAGAAGTTTAAACTTGACAAAATATATATAGACATTTGATGGTGTGGAGAAGAGCTCGCGACTGGCGCTATTTCATGAATTAATTCAGTTTGATGGTGTGTTGTTTGGAGTGAATTGGGGCCATAATCTACCTGGACCTGGGCAGATAGTTCGTAATGGTCCGCGACCATGACGGTGGCCGGAGGAGAGATTTCCGGTAGGTTGCAGAATTTTGATTTGCTAGTTTTGATGCTTGATGGATGAAATGAGGAGTTCTTGGGTGGAAAATGTAGAGGATGTTGAGGAGATTAAGTTGGTAGTGATATTCGGGGGTATTGGTGGCCGGAATGAGGTGAAAATTGGGTCCATAACCGGCGGCTAGGAGATTAAGAGTCTTTTTTTGGTTTTTTTAAATATTTTTATAGGTTTTGGACTCATTTGCATTTTTAGAAAAGTCTAGGAGTAAGATTGCAATTTAGAGTGTGTTTGGTAGGGATTTTTGGGGGAAGAATTGATTTTTAAATAGTGATATGACGGGAAATGTGTGGTTGAAAAAGAAAAAAAATATTGATGTGATGGAAAATATTATTTTATTGTAGAATGTGTGGTTGAAAATGATAATTGATTTAGTGTAGAAAATGAGAATCTGTACCAAACATGCTCTTATTCTGTATTTTTCTTTTCTTTTGTTTTTGTTTTATTTTAATAGAAGGGTAAAATAGTCAAAAATTAGGGAAAATGACGTTTTGCACCAAAAATGTGAAAGGTATGGATGTTATGCGTAAAGAAACGAAACATAAGGACGTTTTACACAAAAGCCGTCAAAGATAGGGACATTTTCCGCCAATTACCCTAAATTTGTCTATGTTTTATCTTTATACGATGTGAGATCTTGCCCCTTAATATGTCCCTAATTAATCTTGAAATTTGTGTACTTACTTTTTAAGTCTTAATTGGATCGAATCACTCATTTGAACTTAATATGCTCTAATATTGTGAAAGAGTTTTAAAATTAGATGTGGCCTCAATGCCAAAACCGTAGCTCTATATGTTCATTATATACACTGGAGTAGATATGGTTCACATAAATTTAAATTTACGAAATAGAAGAATAGTTGAATGATAAGAAGATAAGTTTGAATATCAAATTGAATTCAGTTATTATTAGATAAGGTTGTTGCTGATCTTTTTCGATGACTCTAGAATCTATGGAGTATAGTTAACAATCCTTGCATTAAATATCTGAGTTTATATAATAGTTTTTTTTTTGTAATTTATTCATTTACAATTTAGTTATTTAAAACTTGGTAATTTTATTTTTTATAATCATAAGTTTATATTAGGTTAAGTTTAGAACTATCTTACCAATTCTCCTGGTTTCATTGGTTAAAGATGGTTATTTCATAAATGAGGTTAGTATCCTCCTCCACTCCACTCCACTCCACTCCACTACTCCTCCCAAAAGTAATTAAATAATAGTACTATTATCATTGTACTAAAAAGGCAACAAAATTGTCCTTGAATAAGTTCAAAATTTAAATTTACACCTTATTTGGTGTAAATAGAAAATAAATTTTTAGTAGATTTTGATAAAAGTTTGGTTAAAAAGTTATGGATCGTAATTAAAATGTGTGATTAAAATTTAATTGTTGACTTTAACTTAGATTTTAATCATTTTTTTAGTTGAACCAAACATGGGCTTATTTTATATTCTTATATGTTAAAATTTTATTTATTTATATATATATTTTTATAATAAAAATGTCATTTTGACAAAAATTCTTATTGAGATGGAAGCCCATTGTGTAAAAAGAGAAAAAAAAAAGTATACTTTTTAAACTAGAGTTAATGTACTCAAGTAATTAAAAATAATAAATAAGAGAATTATAAGTGCTAATTTTTGTTCATATGAGAGATTTCGCAATTTTTGAAAAGATAAGACGGCGCTAGTTAGCCCATCAAGCAAGAGTGGGATAAGTGAAGTTGATAAATAGTATTCATGTGATGATAAGTGACGACTTGTAAACATTTATAGCCCCTGTTTGGTGCACATTTTGGAGCTAAGATTGTATTTTTTTGTTGATGTGATGGGGAATATGTGGTTTAAAAGAAGGAAAAGTTACTGATGTGATGAAAAATATTATTTTATTAAAGAATGTGTGATTGAAAATGAGTAGAAAATTAAGAATGAAAATATAATGGGGCTCAAACAGGGGTGAGATTTAGTTTTTAATAATCATAGTTATCTCTCTCTAATATAGTTCGCCTATTTTCCCGTTTCATGTTTTATTTTCGAATGTTGTCAAAAGTGATTTATGTTAGTATGTGCAAGTGATCAAATATCTCATGTCAATTGTGTCATCATATATGTGTTGTAATTTAGTTGTTCAAAATTGATGTTTGGAGGGCCTTAAATGGACCAAATGCGTGGATGAATTGTGGAAGACCTGTGGATACACAAATTTGCGAAAACAAATTTGCCTAGCGATCGCATGGGACACTTCAACTTTTAGCCGTTAAGGCTGATATTTCTTGGCTCTGGTGCCTTTTGGTGAATGAATTCTAACTTTTGACTAATTGTTGGAACTATTTCGTTGTACATCACTTGAAGACTATAAATATGAGTTAGTATTCCATTCCTAATAATAAAAAATAAATAAAAATCAACATCAAGAAATTCATCCTTTGTTATTCCAAATCATCAAGAATTATAATCAACCACTTTAAAGTTTTCATAAAGTCCATTTTGGAGAAACATTCGTGTTTTGGTGTTCTTCATCCTATGCTTGATAAATCTTACAAACTATTTTCCATTTGAATCCTTAAAAGCATTAGGAGAGGAGACAAATATCGTTTCAAAACAATGTTCATTGTGTTTCCATCTTCATCTCTCTTTCTCTTATTTCTAACAATATGCTTGGCATGGTACTCACCTACCTAATCATATTTTATGAAAACGACACTTCTGAAGTACTCCATTTTGAGTTGAGATGTGCATTTTAACGCTGTCAAGTTATAAAGAATATCATCAATAAAAGTGTTTCTAAAGTGCGCTTGTCATCGCCTCGACGACTTTGACTATGAAAGGAAGCTTGATTTCTTGGTAGTTGATAAGAGACATAGGAGCTAGATCTAGAATAGCTAGTTAATACAACAAACATATTAATGAAAATGAATTAATAACATATAACCTAAAGAAATAGAAGTTACATCCTCCATCTTCTAGTGAGGTATTTATCCCTCGTGTCATGCCTGAAAATAGTAAGAACCTTGCCTAGGGAAATCTGAAAGACAAACTTGAGGAGGATGTCATTCGTTGGGAAAGAGAAACCCTTAGTACGGTGATTTGAGATTACGGATGATCGATTTGTCGACTCGGAAGGCCTTGGCCAGTAAATCATCATTAATAGATGGATTTGATCCAAAAACTGTATTAGCAATGGGAATGACACCCGGATTCTGGCTGCTCAAGAAGGCAATAGTCACGGCATTCCCATCCCCAACATTTTGTTGAAAGTGGATAAGCCCAAATGGGAAGGTAAAAACATCACCCTTTTTAACAACTTTCATAAACAGCTTGTTTTCTGGATCCGAGGTGACGAATCCGACAAGTACTTTCCCCTCCAACACTGTCAAAATTTCCGAAGCCCGAGGGTGTCGATGGGGAGGAACAACGCCACGTGGTGCATAATCGACTCGTACGGTGGATATGCCTAGAGTGTTGAGGCCGGGAATTTCATTCACGGTCGGCCGGTTTACGAAGGACCCCAAGGGATTTGATGTGTTTCCAGGTTTATGTAGCCCTTCGAAGAAGAAGTGATCTGCTGTTACCTTTTTAGGGTCTAGACATGCATGACCATTCACTCTCACTGCATTACCACACACAAAACAAATAAGTTTTACATTAAAAACCTTAGAAAACAAGAAAAAAATGTGGCATCAGTGACAAAAAATTCACGAACCTGTACTATCGAAGTCGGCCACGCAGAAATCTTGAAGCGGGCTTGGTTCACCAGCGTGGACGAGTGTCCATCCAGTGGCAAGAAGACTAATAAGGATTAACACAATATTTGGCATTTTTGTTGAACTTTGAGTTACGACCTTTTAAGAAGAATTAGTTATATATTGATGAGGAGTGATTATTGGCAAGAACTCTATATATATAATACCCACAGTAATATGAAAGCCAAGGTTAGAGACCCCAGAGAAGACGAAGTCATGAGCCTGCCGTCCATGCTTCATTCCAATGTTTTTCAATGTTAAAAAAGAAAACAAAAACACACAGACAAAACTGTATATGAAGTGTTCAACGTGGTGCATGAAAAATTACGATTCAATTATAGATAATAAAGACCGAAATATAAATTTATTAGAATGTATATATGTATTGAACATGATTAAACCCATATTTGGTACATACTCTTTAAAATTCATTTTTTCTGGAAACTATTTTCATTAAAATAATTTTGCACTTGATCCCATAATTTTTCCCTATTTTTTAATGAGATATTCTCCAAAAAAAATCATTTTTCACAATTTCTACTAAAAAAAAATCTACATCAAACGGACTCTAAGAAATAAAAGAACAATCCATTAGTTATATTTGTACAATGCTCTTTATACCATGTTGTGAGTATCAAACATGACATGGATACTGCAACTTTTTGTATTAAAAGTTGCACTTTGATAATTTAATTTATGTATTTTAAAATGAGTGTCTCGTTGTTGTCCATCACTCAAGTTTTGACACATTCTTATATGAATTTTACTTTTATTTGAATGCTGGCACTATCTACATGTAATTTAGCTAGCCACAAATGCATTAAATATAATGATTGCGAGGGATCAAAATATTTTGATGCACGTCTTGAAGGACATTTAATATTTTCTTTTGAATTTGTATATAAAAGATAAAATTTATATAACGTGATATATATTGTTTCAAACAGAGGTCAATTACTAAAGACAATGTACAAGGAGAAATAGATCTTTATTAGGAGAATCATTGCAGTGAAAAAAAAGGGTGGGTAAACGATGAAGTACGAACAAGATATATAAGTATATTAACCATTTATTCATCTTTATCACTATTTTTTATATATTTTGTTATTAATATATATTCCCTCTTCTCTCTTTACTTGTATATAGGAGAATGTACTTCATATTAAAGAGTATCATGTTCTACATGGATTTAAGATCCCCACTGAATTTGAGATTATACAGGAGATTTTAGGAAATCTATAGGTTACATTAGAAGACTTGGACATGGTCCAAAACCCGCCTCAAGCCACTCTCTGTTCATTTGATATCGGTTGATACTGTGTCAATAGCACTTTGAGAGCAAATACTGAAGCAAGAGCAAGAATTATTGGATATGAGTGCCGGCTTTCTCGATTTGAGATGCTAATACATAAGTTTATATCGAGTCAAGTTGGCATATCTTCTCAACAATTTGAACCAGTCTGCCCGATTTGAATCATGTAACTCTTAACTTTCTTCATTTTTCTGGTCAGTATCCCTTCAATTAATTAAACATTGGCATTTACTCATTCAAATGGGAAATATTTGCTGTCCGGTCATGCAGAACTATACGTTAATTTTATAAATTATATTGGAGATAGATACGCCGGAAATTAATTGTGATTAGACAGGGTCCTTAATGATGTTTATCCTAGCCAATTCAATAAAACAAGAATTTATCAGGTACGCTAATGCCACAAAGCTAATTGTTAATTATTTTCATCTTGTACGTACAATGCAACATCGTACTCTTAATTTGTCTTTTTCGATTTGTTCTTTTTCTTTTTCTTATTTTCATAGGTGGTTTGGGATTCGACAATGTTTATAAAAACCAAGAAATACTGTACACGACATAATTTGACTTGTTCAACTTTACACAGTGCAAAAGATTCTGCTTTATCAACTAATTGGTCACGTTTTAGTTTTTTATTTCCTTTTGAGTATTGGTCCATCCTTGAAAGAGTTTTAAAAATGGCTGTGGCCTCAATGCCAAAACTGTAGCTCTATATGTTCATTATATACAGTTGAGTGGATATGGTTTACACGAATATAAATTTACAAAATACAAGAATAGTGGAAAAGATGATAAGTTTGAGTATCAAACTAAATTCAATTATTCGAAGGAGGGGATATTGTAACGCCTCTATATTTTTAATATTTTGAAGAAAAAAATGAGGACTAAAATGAAATAAATTTTAAATTCTTATCTTATTTGAGCCAAATAATTATGTGTCGATAGAGTGATAAATGTTGATTTTGATAATGATAATCTTTTTGTGACTTGGATAGAGTTTGATTGCAATCTTAATTTGATAAAGTTTAAAAGTAATCATAATTCTATTTTTTGAAATCAATTCTTATCCAAATTCCTTATATACATCGTTTTAAATTTTAATATATACAAACTCAATTGAGAATTTCAACTATAAATATTGTAAGAATCCTCATTATTTCACCACAGAAAATAAAGAGAGTCACAGTAGAGAAATAGTGAGAAAAATGTATAGAAAAAACAGAAGATCTTTTACGTGCAAGATTTTATTCTTTCCAACATTTTAAAATTAAGATAAGATACTTCTGTGCAAGTGATTTGTTTACTTATACTTTTATATTCAGTAATTTATGCATGAATTGTCAGTGAACTTTCGAGTTCTTTATTAAGAGATAATAGATCCTACGGGAATTTAAAATGACTCAAGATGGGTGTGTTAGTTGGTCACCGATATACTCCATAAGAGAAAGGTGGCACGAAATGTTTATTTCATTATTTTATAATTCTGTATAAAAACTGCACGTATCTTACTGAGTATTTTTAAATAACCACTCTAACGAAATTTTACAGACTAGTTCGGATCGACTAGGACTATAGTGGGATGGCGATGTGGACTATCAAAGGAATCAAAGAGATAAAATATTAAGTTTATTTTTTTCCTTTAAATTATTAGTCAATTTAATTTGTTCAAATGCAGTTATTTAATTTGTGATTATGTTTTCCTTATAGATATTCTAGTTATTTTTATTTGAAAAATATTATTTTATCGTTTTGCCTTTGATACAAAGAAAAATTGATTTTTTGGTAACACTTCAAGGTTTATGAAATTTTTGGGGCGTTACAGTTGTTGCTGATCTTCATGGATGATTTTGGAATCTATGGAGTATGGTTAACATCATCCCGCATGCTGAAGGGGGGAAGACGCACCTGCAGCTTGTCCCCAAAGCATGTAAAAAGGGGCACAAGTGAGTCCTTTTGTAAAAAGATCAACAACTTGAGTTTCTAAACTAGCAAATTGAAGCCGAGTATCTTTATTTGTGACTCTCTCACGAATGAAATGGTAATCAACTTCAATATGCTTAGTCCAGGCATGGAATACTAAATTGGAGGTTGATGTCAAGGCACTAACATTATCACACCATATGAGAGGATGTGCTGAAAGTGGAATGCAAAGTTCCTCGAGAAGCATCCGAACCCAAAATAACTTAGCAATAGTAAGAGCCAAAGCACGATATTCAATTTCTATGCTAGATCGAGCTACAACAAGTTGTTTCTTTGCTGTTCAAAGAAGCTAAACATGAGCCAAGAAATACATCATAGCTAGTAGTGGATCGACAATAATCTAAATTAGCAGCCCAATCAGACTCACAGTATGCATGGAAAGAAAGATTGCCTTTGCTATACCATAAACCATCGATAGTACCCTTAAGATAGTGTAAAATGTTGGGAAAACTTTACCGTTATAATGATCGTTCATGTTAGATCATCAAAAAATTGTAAACCAAAGCGGAAGTGTATCCGAATCAGACATGGTTGTTCCAATGAATGAATCTTGTCTTTACACATAAAGGCTCACACTTTAATTGGATGCTTCAAAGTCCAAAATATCGAAACATTATTAAATCACTTTAAATGGACTTAACCAAAATTGATAGCTTTTAATTTAATACACAATAATTCACATATAAGCCCACATTATCGATTAAAAAATCCTTACAATCTCCCACTTGGGCTATATTTGTTACTTTATAATTGTGCATTAAACATAACGTATGAGTACTCAGATTTTACTATCATTACCTAATGCATCCCCAAACAATCGGGTCCATCAATCATGAGGGTATTTTTCAAATACCTATGAGTTCTGGAGAGGTAGTCGGATAGAGATTCTAGAGATGGAGATATTTTGGACAGTATGTTCGTTTTGGACACATTCGCATTGTCATTCCTCTTCTGTTATTTTAGTATCTATGGACTACGAGAAATGATGCGAAGCATAGGAGGATACACATGGTAGCCAGACGTATCATTTGGAGGGTCTATCACATGATCTCATTTCTTCATATGGGAGGACTGTTACGAGCGGTGAATTGGCGAGGGAAGTTGACACTTGCATTCATATTTGGTATTTTTATGGACCCTCCTTCCCCATCTCCCTCTATTCTAGTTTGATGGCGCACTCCATCAATCGGATATGTCAAGATCAATACTGATGGATGCGTCAAGGATGGTTATGCGAGTGGGGGAGGTATCATCAGAGATCACGTAGGACACTGTATCATGGCTTTCTCAACTTCGTATGGACCATGCATGATATTAGAGGCAGAGCTTCGGGCTATTCTTGATGAGATTTTACTAGCTCAAGGACTGGGTTATTCTGCGATTTGGGTTGAGTCAGATTCTACAATGGCTATCTACTGCATCACTAGAGGAGGAGGACCGTGGGCTATTCAGGGCATACTTAGACGTATCACAAACATTATATCCTTCGACAGAGATATAGTCTCCCACATTTACAGAGAAGGAAACCGGGTTGCAGATGCTCTTGCTGATGAGGATTGAGATCATCGATAATATCAGATAGATGGACTGCTTGAACTACCAAGACATATTAAGGCATTAGTTCAAGTTGACAACATGGATTGCCCAGTGTCAGAGTTTGAATTTCATTTTAACTTTAAATACTTATTTTTGGTTTTTTCTTTACATTAGTTCTTATTGTAAAGGAAGTAGTACTTTCTTGTTTACTACTTAATTCTTCGTCATTTACTTTCATTGTAGGGGA